AAAATTTTGAAGGAACAAAAAATTGTAAGGAAGTAATTGACAACAGATTGGTCATATACCTTAAATGATGACCAATAAACCAATTATTGGAAAGACCAAACCACGCAAGAAAACGAACCCGTATGCCCTGCGAAAGTATGCTCACATGTTCTCCCTTTCCAAACCACTAAAGTTGTGTCATATGAACTTGTGTTACCATTAACAACAATCCATATCAGTTATTCTTATCCAAAACATAGTTTGATAACTGTAAGAAATCTTAACCAAAAGATTTANAGAATAAAAAAACTAACACAATCATATACCTCAAATCAAGCAAAATAATGTTCACCTGTCAAAAACTCGCCTAAAGATAAGTTCATCACTACTTAGAATGTTGCCTTGTAAGTCTCCCAAATTTAACAAATTGGTTTCTTCTCCACTTTCTTAATTTACTCCAATTAATACGGTGCATCTAATCTCGTGACACAGCAGTTAAACGACATGAAAATTTTAAGAAACAAAAAATTGCTGGGAAATAATTGGCAACAGAGAAGTCAAATACCATAACAAGTCGACCAATTATGGTAAAGATCAAATCATATTTCTATCANACTAGCGTCTTGCGGTACTATGTCTTAAGTGGCTACCTCTTTCTTGAGATCGGTGAGTTTTCCATCAATCTTTGACCAAACATAAGAAACTCACTTTTTGACGAAACAACCTAACAGATGATCTAAATGAACCCACATGGTAAAAACATACCTACTTTCGAAAATCAACCAATTGCAGTTAAGAATTCTTAAACAAAGGTACCAAGGCATCCACTTCTACAAGTAAAAGGCTTGATAAATCATTGTGTGAACTTCCTGGCAAAACTTAAAAATTGTTACAATAGGGTTATCAAAAATGGACTCAATCCGGAAACCCGGAAACAAACTTTTAAATAGTCATATAGTAATAAAGATACACATAATAAAAAATAAAAATACAAGTACAGATACATAAGGAGGCACATACACACCAACACTTCGATAACAAAAGAAAAAAAACAGAGTAATAACCACACACAGACAAACATGTTATACACATTAAAACACAAAAACACTCGAGATAAGAAAGATACAGACATACTATCATAAAAACATACACGCCAACAAACAATCGCAATAAACATAAAAACCTATACACCAAAAAAAAAAATTGATAAAAATAAATACACATTGCACACATAAAAACACACACAAAAACACATTGATTAAAAGAATACACATACACTAATGAAAACGCACTGCCACCTTAAATTAAAAAACATACACACACTAATACACCAAAAAAACATGCACACTAACACACCAAAGGCATGCACACACATACACAAACTATTACACAAATACACATGTATGCGCACACCATCACTGAAACAAACACACATAAACACACAAATACATACACACCCACACACAATGTGTTAACAAACACTACTACACAATAAAATACACATAATGCATCAAAAAACACAGACACCAACATACCAAAACACACAAACACACTATTACACATACACAAACACAAACACAACATACACACATACACTAATACATCATCTCATATCACACACACCTACTAATACACCATCTAAAATATGCACACACTAATACACCAAAAAATACACACACAATGAAGCACCTAAACACATACACACACATTCACAAAAATGTATACATTCCATCACATGTAGTGTTAACACAAACTAATCCACCAAAAACACGAACACTAATATACAATAACACACGCTATTACACGAACACAAATACACACACTAATACACTAAAAAACACACACATTAATACACCAAAACACACACACACCCCAGCTAATCAACATATACATGCACACCCACACACCGTGTTAATACACTAATATACCCAAAAACACATACATACTCCTACACCAAACAAATAAACACAATAAAACACAATATTATAGAAATATAAACTAACGCATACACACTACTATACCTAGAAAAAAACCCAAAAACATACGCTCTGTTCATACACACTAATACATCAAAGAAACACACTCATACACTCTGTTCACACATACTAATACACCAAAGAAATACACTCATATACTAATACACCAAAAAAACATAGACACATTTATATTTTGCTCAACGGTGCCAAAGCTTGAGGGCAAGAGGCTNAAAACATAGACACATTTATATTTTGCCCAACGGTGCCAAAGTTTGAGGGCAAGAGGCTAGCTAGACCCTCGGTGCCCCTTAACTATCTCTATCCCCTATATATGTTTTATGGAGGTTTTCCAAAAAAGACTTTAGCGGACATCTTCTGAACCAAGAAAACATAACGAGAGCCTAAGACATGGCGCTTGGACTTTTGTCGAATATCTTAGCAACATCGCCTTGCTTTGAATTCACGGGGCGTCATGATGCAAGATGCCACCAAGACACGTCCATTTCTGCGTCCANGCCTAAGACATGGCGCTTGTACTTTTGTCGAATATCTTAGCAACATCGCCTTGCTTTGAATTCACGGGGCGTCATGATGCAAGATGCCACCAAGACACATCCATTTCTGCGTCCAAGTCAATTAGGGTCTAAAAACTAATGTGTTCTTTTTTCATAACTTGCAAATTTAAAGATCATCTAGAATACAATAATTACTACCATTGAAAACTTTCAAACAACCACCACAATTTTTATAAAAACACATTAATATTTAAAAATGAAAACTATAACATCTACTCAAAGATATTCAAAAGGAATAGTCATGCAAGAAGCCGACCTGTATGCTCTTCAAAAGTATGTGTAGAGTTGTGTCACTTAAACCTGAATTACCATAAACAAAACTGTCATTGTTCATTCGTATCCAAAGCAACATGGTGTAGGATCTTCAAGTTTCAACATCAGTGTCTTTATAGTTCGATAACTACAAGAAATCTTAAGCAAAAAATAGAGATCAGGGATAATAATTAAGAACTTCACGAGAAGAGAAGAAAAGAAAATGCTAACAAAATCATACCACAAAATCAATACCATACAATACCCAAAGAAAAATCTATACCTTTCACAAGAAAACGCTTGGATTGCGGCTTTATGAGCCTCCCAAATTTCAATAGGTCAGTCTTTTCTCCATTTCTCCACCATCTTTAAGATACTGCACTCAATAAGCAATATTACACATTGAGTCATAGCACAAAAATTTAAGAAATAAAATACTGTAAGCAATTAATTGACACAAAAATTCAAGTAATTGTCACATTGAGTTATGGCACAAAAATGTAAGACATAAAATACTGTAAAGAAGTAATTGGCAGCAGAATAGTTTTATGCCTTGAATAATGCCTAGTAGAAAAGGAAAGATTGATCATTCTCATACTTAAACATATACTTATACGAAAATCAATTGAATAGAGATATAATTTTTGGTTAAAAAGATCTTATTAAACTGTTTCAAGCATAATTGCAAGGATAAATTACTATACATGCTTAGTCATTACAAATTTCCCATTTCAAGCCACCATATTGATACATAAATAAATGACCCAATAAAATATGAAACAGACATTAGAACATCAAGTGTTCAGAATAAGTATTTGGTGAATAGGATAAAAAAGTTCTAGGCAAACTGGGCAAAATAGATGAGGAAAGTATGCTTAATCAATTTTGGAATAGGTGCTTGTAAGCTGGGGTTTATCTCCAAAACTACAATTTAGTCACAATACTTGTACGTGAAAAAAACAACTGATAAAATTAATGATACAGATACATGCAATATATATGCATCGCTGCGATGTAAACGTCATATTAGATTTCTCAGATGTGAATCAAATTTGACTTTTTTTATCACCATTAAAATATGACAAAATTGATCTCCAGAAGTAGCAATAAATTGGTCGAATTCCTACATATGAATAAGACATCCATAAAAGAGTAAACAGAATTTAGCTAAATCTCGGAGCAAAATATAAAGAGATATCAATGATCAAGTCAAACGGAGAACAGAATCAGGGAAGATTTTTTATTGATCAACTTACAAGAGGTGGGGTCCCTTGAGAAATACGCTGAACAGCAGAAGGCCACCGAGTATTCCACATGTATGGCCCACCTACTGCTTGAAGAGAAATTCCCTACACTATTCAGATTACGGGAAACTGACTTTATCGGAGATAGAGTTTTTTGAATTGGAGGTGCAAACCCAAAGAGAGCGACATAGAACCACAAATTGCGGAATAACTTCAAAAGTGCAGGTTCCACATATACAATAGGATCAAAATCTGAACATATTTCAGCCACAACAAGAAATAAAGGTCCTAGAAAATCTGCCTCAAGTCTCTGACTGTTTGAAAATATATATATATCACAATGCAAGTTTACCCAAAAAAGTGCAACATATTGCAGAATCATGTTACCAAGATACGCCCCAGCTGCAGGAGATAGCCCTAAGCAAACAGATAATGTACCTGAGCACATGTACTTAACACAAGGGGTTTGAAGCGAATGAGCAAGACACGCAGCAGCTGACGACAACGAGTGAGAGCAATTTGGGAAATCCCCACAAACAATAAGCCGAAGAGCTCATCACAAATTCTCAACTTTCGCCAGACAGAGAATAAACATGCTTCAGCAGCTTCTATCAACAATGCCAAAGTTCCATGCAACAACCTCTTCGATGACTTCCCATCCAAATCAACAGATGAAAGACTATTGATTTGTAACCTGGTTGCAGCTTGATAAACCGACAGCTTTTTATGGATTCCAACTTTCAGTAGCTGCCCCTGTTCCGTCCGGTCACGCTTCCTTATCTGCCAACAAAACCAAATATTTTAACCAGCTTTATCATTCATCTATATAGTTTTTTCATCAAGACATCAATAAAATTCAAAACCAAAAGGGTGGATACCCATGAATTTTACCTTTAGGAAAGCCAACATTGATTGGAGTTGCTCCTTGGCGAATGGCCCTCACTTGTTCCAAAAGCTTAAGGTCAATCTGGACTTTATCCAATATGTGTCCCAATCAGCTTGAAAGCAATCTCCTGTTGTTGAAGGCTCTCCACAGGCTCTTCCTCAAAAGAGGCTACCACTCGCTTGTACGTCGCGGAACCGCCTCCTCCTCCATCATTGAACCCAACACCAGCACCAAATATATCCACATTGCTCTTACACGCAAGGCTGCCCCCATTCATCACCAATCCTTTCGTCGACAATGCACTGGTCTTCTCATCTGTAACCCTTGAAGCCTCACCGCTCGAAGAACTAGAGGCATTGCTGACCTCGTTTCCTGGACTGTTTCTCTCATTTNCTACACGCAAGGCTGCCCCCATTTATCACCAATCCTTTCGACGACAATGCACTGGTCTTCTCATCTGTAACCCTTGAAGCCTCACCGCTCGAAGAACTAGAGGCATTGCTGACCTCGTTTCCTGGACTGTTTCTCTCATTTGATTGATAATGGTTTGCACTGAGGGGCGAACTCTGAGACGATGACGCTTCAGGTGTTATCGCAACTAGCTGCTTCGGTGAACTAGGAACCGAAATTTCAAATCGATCTAGAAGAGTGGACACTAATTTGTGTGCATAGGAAGGAAGAATTTGAGGAAAATACTGCAACAGAGCATTCAAGAAAACCCTTGAAACCCCCAAATCTCCACTGACATTGTTAATCGCCGACATCACAATCTCTCCCGTATACTCCGGAACGGCCATGGCAAAATCCGACGACAACTCACTGGCTTTATTCACATAACTCAAAAAATCGAACGAATCGATTGAATCGCTTCCAAACGACTGTGGCCAAAAAGAATACGGAATCGACTTAAAAAACCCTAGGACTGCCGGTTAGGGCCTCATGTCGTCGAAATTGGGGCATTTAGAANGCGATTGAATCGCTTCCAAACGACGGTGGCCAAAAAGAATACGGAATCGACTTAAAAAACCCTAGGACTGCCGGTTAGGGCCTCATGTCGTCGAAATTGGGGCATTTAGAAAGAAATCTAGCGGTGGCGAGTACAGAGTCAATCGGTGGACATCGGCCACAAATCCAAGCCAATTTATCAGCAAACTGCGAAAGATTTTGTGCGATCAGATCGCAGAGTTCGATCAACGACTCCATTGCTTNACTCCATTGTTTAATGTACTGCAATCAAAACAGAATATCTAACCTCATTACCCAATAGTTAAATGACAAGAAAATTTTAAGGAACAAAAAATTGTAATGAAGGAATGGACAATAGATGAGTCACATACTTTAAATGATGACCAATAAACCAATTATAAGAAAGATCAAACTATATTTCTATTGCCCCCCAAAACAATTACTAAGAAAAAATATAAATCATAACATTTTAAAAAGAAACTACCGTATGTAGTAAAATATAAGCAAAAAGAGTCATGTAAACATGCAAGAAAATAAACTTGATTTCCTACGAATGTATGCACACATCTTCCCTTTCCAAAGCTCAAAAGTTGAGTCACTGGAACTTGTATTATCATTGACAACAATCCACATCAGTCATTCCTATCCAAAATATAGTTTGACAACTGCAAGAAATCTTAAATAAAACACTAAAGTTGATCATTGAGAGATTATTGGGAAAATACTTAAAAACTTCAAGGTTCAAGACAAAAAAGAAAAGAGAAATAAGGAAAAAGCTTACACAAGTATACCTCAAATTAAACAAAAACAATGTTCACTTGCAAAAAGCTCGCGTGAAGATAACTTCATAATGGTAGATTACTACCTTGTAAGCCTCTCAAAGTTAAGCAAGTTGGTCTC